TCGACACTGACCGGCAGATGGAACTCGGAGGAGGCCTAATCTATGTGATCTAATTGGTCGCGTGGAGGTGATTGGCAGTAGGCGGTCTCTCAAGTGCTTTGTTAGTGCTACTTGTGTTGTTTATGGAGATTCTCAGTCATCCTAATCATGGTTATTCCAAAACTGCTTTCTTTCAAAAGGCAACTGGACTTTCTTCTTTTGGTAGAAGATGTTTCGTTTCTCATCCAAGAAGCTTCTTCAGTTCTGACAGGATGGTGGAGAATGGGAGGATTTATATTCTTCACTGCATGACTTGACTTCATGACTGCAAGCAATACAAATCCTTCCATTCTCCACCTTTCAGTCACAACTGAAGAAGCTTCTTGGATGAGAAGTGAAATGTCTTCTAGCAAAACAAGAAAGTCCAGTTGCCTTTTGAAAGAAAATACCTTTGAGACTGCTGGTTGTGTTTTGTTTTCGTTCCCTTGAGGATAGTAAGATGAGGATATTTCCCTGCCACTAAATAATTCCTGGAAGCCAATAGACTTCTCCCCATCTTTTGGCCTCTTCTTCTGTCTTGGTTTTGCAACCAGAACAGCAAAAACATCTTGGCATGAAGCACCTGTTTCTGTGGAAGGCCAAATAGCTACTTTGTTCTACAAGGTTTGGTGCCTGAGTGTCTTATATATAGTGTCAGGCCTGCAGCCATCTTTTCCTTTGGGTCTTTGGCCTGCCACAATTTCTATTATTCTGCTATGCATTTTCTATTATGGTAAAATGGGAGGGGGATTGTAAGGAGTCACAGACTATGTAGCCACAACAAAATTCTTTCTAGAAAGCCAAGGTCATCCTTTATCTCAGCACCTCTGAATTGGATTGGTGGAACTGCCAGCATGGCAGTGGGAGATTGGACCATGTGATGGACTTGTGGGTATGGGGGCAAGATAGCAGTAGACTTAGCAGTAGACTTATATACCGCTTCATAGGGCTTTCAGCCCTCTCTAAGCGGTTTACAGAGAGTCAGCATATTGCCCCCAA